TCCTCACTCCCTCTATCCCCTCTCCTCCCCACCCCCTCCAATGTTTTTGAAATGCAAAGAACTGTTCCTCGCTGCACATTCAACTGTCTAGAAAATGTAAGTGGATTAAATATAATATCAATCATGTTTACGTTTGCTTTCGTGAAAGCAGCGAATGATATATTATAACATGATTACTACATGAAATAAACATGTTATTCATTGACAACAAAAGCAAGTACAGCGGTCGATCATTCAATAAATAACTTAGTATATTAATAATAATATGTTGATATGTTCATAGGGTACAAATGAATAAGTACAAGTGAAGAGCACAGGGGAAAAACGACTGTGGTCACAAACTGGAAATAAATAGGGTGCCAATTTTAAAAGCTTGTGGACTCATAACCTCATATTTATTTGACTGGTGGTTTATTGTTACGTGTAATTGAATAGGAAATCTAAGAACAATTATCAACCAACAGTTAAACAGAAATATAGTTATGGGTCAACAAGCGTTCAAAATTGGTACCCTCACGATTTTCAGTTTGCGACAACAGTCGTTTTTCCCCCCTGTAGTCTTCAAATCGTTTATATTATAACCGTGGAAGTGAGTGAGTTCTCCAGCACTCATACCTACACAGACATATTTTGCTCGGATATGATTGTCAAAATGGCGCTATCGTTATGCTTTACAATCTACACAGCTAGCGACTCACTGTTGACCGCTACAACAACCAACAACACTAAGGTACGTACACAGAGCTCCTGTACAATAACACATTGTTGAACGCCAATAGCAAGCAGTAATTATCATCATGGGACATATACACATCCATGGACATATTAAACATGTTCACAGCTATCACCAGTTTGGTACAATCACATTCGGGCATTGCTTTTAATAGACAGTGACGTCACTCACAGGTTCTGGTGACATCCATGGCGTCATGGGTTTCTCCCCATAGTCCAACAATGGTTTTTATCATGTCCTTATTTCAAAACGTTTAATGAATGTCGTTTCATTCCTCATTCCTTCTGCTCTAAAAGTACAGAGAATCTTTTTCTTTTCCTTCCAGATTCACACGTCAACGTGTTGGTGTGAACGTTTTCTTTTGACACTGATGTTTTCTGATGGTTTTGTTGTTCCTGTTGTTGTTGTTGAAGATTGTGTTCTTTTTCTTCTTCTTCTCCTTCTTCTTCTTCTTCTCCTTCTTCTTCTTCTTCTCCTTCTTCTTCTTTTTCTTCTTCTTCTTCT